ATAAGTAACAATTAACGTTTGTTTTAAAAATGTAAGGAATAGAAAGTACAGACACTTGTGTGAAAATGTAATGAGTAGAAGTCAGAAGTAGGAAGAAAAATAAGTAATGGAGTAAAGTATACAGTAGATACTAAAACAGCGGCTCGGGCTGAGATGATAGCCGGAAGGGATTAACTTAATTGCTGCATTGTAGGTTTTTGTAAGCTGAAATCTGAGTCCACCCCCTCTGTTTAGGGTTGTTTTTTTTCTTTATTAACATAGATGGCTTATTTCACGCCACGCTTAAACCACCTATTTTCTTTATCCAAAAAGTGAACATTCTGGCCCTCAAAAGAATGTCCTTTGTCCATGAGGTGAAGATGTACAGCAGAAGTCACTCTTCTGTGTTGGGCCTTGCGTCTGTGGAGAAGTTGTTTGGTTTCTCCAATATAAAGATCATTTCATTCCTCACTGCGTTGAACCTTAGGATCCATTAGCATCCTAATGGTCAGGTTCTGTCTAGACTACAGCAACATATGGGATGGTAAGTTTTTGCGTATAATCTTCTCACCGTTATGTTCTGCTGAATGTCTTTTGGATTTCCTTGCTGATTTGACAAACGCCTAGTTTGGGTATCCACCGGTTTGAAGAGCATCTTTGATGTGTTTCTGTTATATTTGTTTCCCTTATGTTTTTGTAGGGACATGCTCAGCACGATGTTGTAAGGATTGTGATCACTTAAAGTTTGTGTTCCATTGGGTGGTGTGAGTCACCCACTGGAATAGTAGTAAACCTGCAGACTGAGAATCAAGTAACACCAAGATTTTTTACTTTATTATCTGAGATCAGTTTAATCCCATTCAAATGAAGTGACTGGCTAATCAGCTTCTTTTTCAAACACTCTGTTTTGTCTGCATTCAGAAGCAGAAACTTAAGAGTCATCCAGGTTTTTATATCTTCAAGACATGCCTTTAATCTATGTAATGGGTTAGCCTCATCTGGATTCATAGACAGATAAAGCTGAGTATCATTAGCATAACAGTGGAAAATAACCCCAGTCTGTCTAATAATTCTACCGATTGGGAGCATATATATATATATATATATATATATATATATATATAGTAAAGAAAATTGGTCCTAGCACTGATCCCTGCTACTCTACAGGTAACCTTTAAGCATGAGGAAGATTTGTTATTAACGTGAACTGAAACTGAAACTGAAATCGATCAGATAGGTAAGATTTAAATCAGTCTAGTGCTGTTCCTTTAATTCCTACAAAACATTCATGTCATGAAGCAGGGCAGTTGGACCCAGTATTCAAGGAGAGACAGTCAGTAGGAAACTTCAAAACGTTTATTAAATGAAAGCAAACAAAACTAAAACTAAAGTGGAGCATCTAGGAACTGTGTCTCGCGGCTACTGCAATCACAGACACTCTGTAGGAGAAACACAGGTACAGTAAGTGACCACGATCATTGGACTAACGATGATGAGCTCAGTGAGTCACTTACCTGGTTTAGGAGTTCAGTCCATCATCCTTGAAGGGGGTGCGATCCAGCCGATGGGCTGACTGCTGACGCAGCGCACGTCACCCAGAGTGTCCCCGGTGCTGCAGTTCCAGAGGATTGGCAGGAAGCCAATCCTGATCAGGGATACAGATCAGGCAGGAACAGACAGAACAGGATCCAGAACAGGCAGGAACAGACAGGTGGCAGGATCCAGTCCGGAAGGGTGGCCAGGGGGTCTCGCACAGAAGCAGAAAGGATCGGGTGCAGATAGGCAGGCTCAGTGGAAGAGAGTAGCAGAGACAGGATGTGGAACCAGAACTTGATGCAGGACCTTTAAACTGGTCTCCTCCTTGAAGCAAGGCTTACGGGGATAGAAACTGAACATCCCTGCGTACAGAGTCAAACACCCTGAGGACTCAGCAGGGGAGAAACAGTGGACAATCAGGAGACAAGACAGACACAAAACCCTCTTTCCATTTGCAGCCAGGATCCAAAAGATGAACCTTGAAATAAACAGAACTGAAAAGAACGACTTACAGAAAACAAATAATGATCTGGCCCTGAATGCTAAGGCTGAATAGAATATAAACCAAAGGGAACAGGTGAGAGGAATAAATGATAATTGACGCAGGGAGGGAAAACAGCAGGTGAAAGAAATAACCAATTGAGGGAGAGCAAACAGGCCAGATCATGACAATTCAAGGCTTTCTAAGATAGTGTTAAGATCAACTGTATCAAATGCAGCACTGAGATCTAAGAGGACAAGTACAGATACGAGTCCATTACCTGAGGCCATGAGAATATCCTTAGCGACTTTCACCAGAGCTGTTTCAGTGCTGTGATGCTATGCTTTAAAGCCAGACTGAAACTCTTCCAAAGGTTCAATATGGTGTAAGTGATCGCACACTTGTTTGGCAGCTACTTTCTCAAGAATTTTAGATAAGAAAGGAAGTCAATGATCTAATGATCTTATTTTTAATAATCCCCCACTAACATGACCCTGTCAAGATTTAATTCCAAACCAGATAGGTACTCTACAATTTGGATGAGGGAAACTAAGGGTTTAATGTTCAAGAGAGTTGTAATTATTAACTGCCTTTGGAGTAATCAGTAAGTCAGACTCAAAGATTGTTGCTACTCCTCCTCCTCACCCAGAATTTCTGGGTATGTGAAAATGTATATAACTAGAAGGTGCCGCCTCATTGATGCTCACATAATCCTGGAAAAGAGTCAAGGGAGGTAGAGAGAAGCTTTACTATGCTAAGCTAGCACTAGCCTAGGCTAGCAACTATTTACTACCAGAAATAAAACCGTGTGAGAGTGACAAGTGTTCAGTAGAGTGGTGACAGGGTTATCACAGAAAAAAAAGAACTTAATTCAGACAAAGCCTGAACAGCACGCTGCTCAGCAGTCAAAACAGGAAATGAACATGATACGTCTCACCAACAACAGCAGTACACACACATACACACACTATGTGTGTGTATGTGTGTGTACTGGGTACTACATCCACAGTACCTTTTGAATGGTTATTTTAAATGTCATACAAAATTTGTGTCCAAAAACAGAATCAATTCAACATAAAAAGTGTTGAAAAACTCTTATTTCTGTAAACATTGACTTTCTGCTTTGTACGTCTTTTTTGGAAGTGGTTCAAGAATACCCAGTGCTCTTTCAATTTCCACAAGCACTTTTACAGTCTGTCTACTTAAGCCCATACTATTTCATTAATGTGATAGGAAAAACATACACAGCATTCCATATATTATTTGGAAGTTTACACATATGAAATGTTTTTGAAAAATGTCATTATGCATGAGTAGAACAACCATAAAATAAAATTGTACTAATGAATTTTATTGATAATTTCCAATGGTCCTGAAGGCTAAAAACACTCACAACCAAGATGCTTAATGCAAGTTTGCTCTGCCTATGCAGGAATTCCAGCAAGTGAAAACAAACTGTTTTAACTTTTATAACTGTAGGAATCCCCATGAATATGATGGAGATAGAAACACACCAAATTATATAAAGCACATAGCTGTAGAGATATTGCAATAGAAAAGTATTTTTAGTTGAAATAACTTTTCAACTACAAATACTTATCCAATTTTGTTAGGGGCACGGTTAAGGGACAGACCACTGGTGAGTTCCTATCATGCCAACTCACCCGCATCACGAGAAACACCATCACCTGCATCATAAATATCTGTCCTAAATATGATGTATGAAACAACAGGATGGTAGAAAACCAAAACAACATAAAAACAGAATATCAAAAATTGTTAAGGTTGATCAAATCTAAATCTTAAATCTTAATTTTTTCATGAATTTTATAAATTTAACAGGCTCCTGCTCCCCACTGTTAGAAAGCAAATAAAAAAAGCAATTAATTGCATACATTTTTTAACACAATAAAATGTTTTCTATTTATTAATCGAAATAATGGCTTAAAGTCTTGGACCTATTCTAAATATAGGCTATTTTATAAAATAATACTAATAATAGTATAAGTAAATACTTTTTTCTATAAGTGCATTGTCTTTTCAAATGATCAGATCTTTTTATTTACCTGTTCAAATTAAGAAAAAATATACTTATTCAAATATTTTTTAAACTTATTTCAAGATCAGTTTTTGCAATGTAATCAGTCTCTGAAAAAAAAACAATTCAGCAACTAAATCTAAAAAACAAACAAAGTTCTCAAACCCACATCCTATTAAGTAGCTGTCAGACTTTAGAGGGGCTAAGCTTCTGTAATCCGGGTCATGGCACCGATGTAACCGGTTCAACCTTTGACTCTTGGTTGTGTGCTGTACTGCATAAAGAAAAACTGAGCCTGGATCTGGGTCAACTGTCTTTTACTCTTTAAAATGTCAAAATGAAACACAACGCAGTGAGTACCTAAATAATTTTGCCTCCTCTGGCAGTCTTGGCTGTCCTGTAGCTATTTGACATATTAAGCCGTGTATCTCTCCTAATTTCCTATAGACCATGTTGGAGTGCCGAGTATATGATCAGTATAATTGAAAAAAGAACTTTTGTGCTTCAGCAATTAAAATACATTGCCAGAAGTATTTGCGAAGTGTTCTAAATCTTTAGATGTAGGTATTCGATTCACTTTGGCAGCTGTGTAAAATCAACATGCCAAAGTGATTAGAATAGAGGCATTAAAGAATCGGTCCAACTATGTGTTGTAGGATGACTTTAGGGTCCTTTTGTTCTAGCCTTTAGAAATGTTTCCTTGTTCAACACAGCTCCTTTGTTCCTGATAAGAATCATTAAATGCAATAGCTCTGCACCTGTGTTTGATTGAATTGGTTTCAGTTGTGTTTGGATACAACAAATAAATATATTAATCATATTGGCAATGGTAGGAATCTAGGAAATGAAGACCCTACATTACTAAATAGGATTGCTGAGTAAAAAAAAAAAAATTAAGATTCATTTAGAAGCTAATTGTGGAAGAAAGTCCTATTTGACTGTTCATTCGAAGGTAACCAATCAGATACATTAAACAGTTTGGATCGCCACACCTCCCTCAGTTACTTAAACATTAAGTGTCCCAATGAGGACAGTGTCAACATGACTCAACTATGGTTTATATGGTTGCTTCTTCATCAAGCATGTAAGTAGATTTGAAATTATTAGATTGAGTTTTCAAATAACATTTTTATGTATGATCTGTGATTTATGCTTTCTGCTAATTTATTCTTTTTACATGTCATTGCTTTTTATGTACTACAGATACTTTAGTCCCCATCATCACAGTCCAGCTTGGGGAACCTGTCACTTTGACCTGTTTTCCTGAAAATCTAAAGGTCGTGACTTGGGTTTACTGGTATAAGCAGAGTGCAGGAAATACTCTGGAATTAATTGCAAAGGTGCATAAAAGTAAAAAACAAATCTATGAGCACGGATTTCAAAGGTCAAGATTCAAAATAACCTACAATGGCAACAAAAGCACCTTGACAATTTTATCATCAGCTGAACAAGATGAGGGAATGTATCATTGTGGTTTTATGGACTGGAGTGAATTTACTTGGACTGGGACTTATTTGTCAGTAAGAGGTAAACGTCTAGTATTTCTTAAACCCAAAATTTGGTTTTAGTTAAAATAAATGAGAGCTGTTTTTATTACCATCATGTCTAGTGTGCTTTAGATAGGCTTATTTGGACAATTTTTCAAAAAATCTAATACATACAAGAGTAAAATCTGTTTTTACTAGAAAAAATTGGTGCTCAACACTCAAACTTAGAGTGGAAACATGCATAAGCTGGAAGACAATATAAATGAGAATTCTGTAATGAGAATAAATACAAATTATTTAGTTAATTATATATTGAGTATGTATCAAAGTTTTGTCATACTAGTCTTTAGTGAGTTCTAAAATACTTTTTTCGATTATTAACAACAGAAAATGCATGGTTAAATCAATCTACTATTAAATCTTACTATTTAAATAGTAAGAACAATTTTTGGGTTAACCATAGATACTTTATTCATCTGCTTCTGTTTATCCATATATCCACATATGTGTTAAAAGTCTAACATTGCAACTTTTACAAATGGAACAAGCTCATTCAACATTTTCAAACTTTTAAATTAAAATTGAGATAAAAATGATTTTTTTCAAAAAAACAAACAAAAAAAACAATTTATGTTTATAACATTTTTAGCCAAAATGTAGATGTCAGAGCCCATATTTATAGGTATGTTGTTTTTTTTCTTAAAAGGAAACTCTCACAGGGTGTCAAGCTACACTGTTGTTCATGAGCCAACAGTTTCTGATCGCGCTCATCCAACAAACCAAGAACCTTTGCAGTGTTCAATCCTGTCTGAGTCTGATAACACAACCTGTTCAGGAGAACCCAGTGTGTTTTGGTTCAGAGCAATATCTGATACCTCATATCCAGATATTGTCTACAATGAAGGCATAAAACAAGAAAATTGTGAAAAGACATCAAACAATCAAAAGAAATGTAGTTTTAGGTTTTCCAAGAACATCAATTCATCAGTCTCCTATCACTGTGCTGTGGCCACATGTGGAGAAATATTATTTGGAAATGCAGCAAACATGAAGAATCAAGGTATTGTGGATCTTTTCATTTCTACTATTGTAGAAAAATCCTACTTTTCTGATATGTTTCACTTTCTTTGATTTCTAGATAAAATGTCAATTAATTCATCGGTTGTCTTAATGATCATAATAATCTGCTTGGCCATCTCTGTGACCCTGAATATTACTTATTTTTGGTACCGAACAAAAAAATCAAGCTGTACACGATTAAACGGTAGGTGTCATTTATCAAACTAAATTTCACACCATAATTTCAGAGTAAGTTATTAAGTCACATTCCAAGTAATAGCATGAAATGAAATATACTGGCAGATGTTGTTGATGGAAAATATAACTTAGCTTAATCTCAGTGTCTTTAGATGTTTGCCCTGTCTTAACAGAAAGTTCCCCTTCTCAACCAAATCCCAGGGACTTAAGCCAAGAAATAGATGAGGTAAAAAAAAATAACACTTTATTGTTATAATTACAACTGTTTGTGATAGTAAATAACACAGCTGACAAATTGTAAATGATGTATTTTTGATGTAAAAATGTATGTATTTTTCCTCAGAGTGAAAATGGGCTTGATCTGGATTATGCCGCATTGCATTTCTCTGGAGGGAAGGAACAAAAAAGCAAAAAGAAAAGAGAACAGAAGACTGAAGAAAGTGTATACTCACAAGTGATATTCAATAGTAATAAATAACTTTGACTTTAGACATATGCTGAACACCAACATTGTGGCGTAGATACTCTGAAAAATGTAAATAATTTCAAGCTCAAGAAGTAAGAGCATGCTTAGAAGAAAAAAATTCTTAGAGGTAGATGACGGAATCTCCACCCCTTCTAACAGCAAAATATGATGTAACTTTTATTAGGATTTTATAACAGTGAAAAACACCATACATTGCAGTTGCCTTCAGAATTCATCTATTAAAAGCAGTTTCAGCATAGACTGGACAAAATAAAAAAAATCTGTGAAAAGTCCTAACATTTCCATAACCCTACATGGTTTTTTTTTTCTAAACTTTTTCTGTTACATATTTCTGCTAGCTGGAATCCATGGAACAGCTTTGAGCTGATTGTTATCATATTTTCTAAAAAGATTCCTGCATTTTCATATTAATTTCCTTCTTGCTGGTAAAATTATCACATAGTGTTAGGATAATTATCATTGATGGTGTGTGAGTTTATTACACCTTGGTATTGGCCGCCTTTTGCGTTTCAGAATTGATGTTTTAATCTAATTAAGACAGTTCCTCTGTCTGGATACATAGTTGTATTCATTCTGTACGTGGCAAAGATTTGGAAATGGAATGAGAGTGGTGTCCTTCAGCTAAGAACGAAGTGTAATATTTTAATAAGGCTGCAGCCATGAATGTATAATCATCTGCTAACGTGTATGATGTAAAATATGATGATGTGGCAGACTGGAGATGTATAAAATGCCTTTTTACCTGTTAATCGGGGCCACTTCCTGAGAGGTGAGCCCAGAGGTGAGCTGCTGCCTTCTGTATATTCTAAGCAGTTTCTCTGATCTGAGTAAGATTACAATTTCTATCAGAATCTGTTGTCATTTCTCCTGGTTAATTAATACATATAAGTTATGAAGTGTTATTTCAAGAGTTTGTCCCGAGTGATCTCTTTTCAGGGAAAAGAACCAGAGAGATAGAGGGTCAAGGTGCAGACACAGAGAGCCTATCTTTAACAATAGCATGGCCTTTTTTTCTACAAGATGGGGACCCAGCTAATTGCTGCGGCTCCAGGCTCTTGATGTTTGCTTTTAAGATTTTGTTTAAGTTTTCCTTCTACTATGTGCTTTTAGCTTGTCACTGTGCCAGAATAAACAAAAACCAAAATGGGGATATAACGACTATAAAGATTCTTAATATTGTTATTGTAATCCTGAAACTACTCTGAGTTACTTAACCACACAAAATATTCCTAAAAATCTGGAACACTTCTTTATCTGCCATTTGGTAGTTCTGGTATTTGGACCAGAGCCACTGAAAACATGCCAGTCACTAAATCTAGAAGGAATTTCAATTTTCCACCAGGAAAAAATATAAAAGAACCTGAGTATTTTCTTCAACTAGCAAATTATTTAAATCCAGTTATAAACTACTTTCTGTGACATTTTACCTTTGCATTTTTTTTCTAAATTTAGATCAAGTTTGTCCTGTCCTACAGTGGTGCAAAAACTAGCTGATGCATTTGTTACTTCAAGAGGAGACTTATGTAATTCTAAACTATCAATATGTTCTTAAAAATCTGTAAAAAAAAAAACAAAAACAAAAAAACAAGCGACAGGGTGCACCCTTGACATGTCATCACAGCTCAAAATAGAGACTTACAGGACAAACAATCATGCAAGCACAAAATCCCCCACTAAGAAGGTAACTAAGAAGACCATATTAACCTATCAGTCATGCTTTTTGGACAGTAATCTGTAGAAGAAACCCAGAGAGAATACAAGCTTCTGCAAGGAAAACAACTACAAGCAGAAAGAAAATAGGCAAGGATTCATAAATATAACCTTCTTCATGCAAAGCAACTTCTTTATTCTACAGCACTGGTTCTCAACCCTGTTCCTCAACTGTCGCTGCCCTGGATGAGGTAGCTCTTTGCTGCAACACACCTTGCTTAAATAAATCAGACATGTGCGATACTTGATGGCTGCTGATAAGTCTTGTGTAATAATTTCAATCTTGTGTGACGCAACAGAGAGAGACGCCTAAAACATGCAGGGCAGTGGCATTTACCCACGATTGGGACACACTGGTCTACAGCCTTTTGTAAAGATATGATTGTATGTAAGGCTGAAAGTCCCTTAAAAAAAACAGTTATCATAAAGCAAGTATGCAAAATATTTTTTTATGCTCATATTTCTACATTAAAGATATTTTTATAGGTCTGATCTGCTACCGTAACCTTATATGCTTTATAGCTGTGGTATGAAAAAATAATTCTTTATTCCTCCATTTAATTCATGATAATAATCCTTTTTTTCTGGGCCCGGGTTTTTCAATATCTTCTTTCTCAAATTGTCTGTAACTTTTGATAACGACATTCACTGCTCTGCATAATTGTAAGATAGTTAGAAAACGTTTTCTTGGCAGAACAGGGCTGAGCACTCCAGTTGCGAGGGCTCTTGTGATTGTGTTGTTCCTGTCTTTGCAAAGACCAAATAAAGTACAGACCGAGTGATTACCCCCATTCTCTCTTTATTTAAATAGTATTTCCCTACAATAAATAAAAGAAATAAAAGCTTAAAACACCAGCCTCTGTGCAGTTAATCTGAACTGGGCTACTGAAATAAATGAAACTTTCAGTAATGTTCTGATTTCTTTAACATGACTATACAGTATAAATGTTTCCTGTTGTAAATGTTAACTTCTTGTCAATGGAATTGATTCTGAATTCAGAACTTTTGAAAAGGTTAACTATAATTCCCTTTAGCTGCAATGCAACTTAAACAATGACTTGGCAGAGATGTACCCCAGGATACCCTTCCTGACGCAACTTGAAACCAGGTTCCTTTTATTAAAAATTAAACCTTAAACCCCCTACACAAGAGAGGGACATTGTGATAAAAGGCAGATGATAAAAACTTTTGGCTAACTATGAAGATAATCACTGATTTCAAACTGAAGAACAAACTTTGATGATCTCTGTAGATGACCCTGTTTTAAGACCATTTTATTACCAGATCATTGGAGGTATTGTTTCTCAGATAGCGTACACAAGGGATAAACATATTTAAGCATTAACAGAATTTATTCCTCTCATGTTTAACAAAATCATTGATACAAGCACAAATTGCAGAGGAAGTTCTCACTTTCTTTTAGGCCCTGACATCAGGACCATCCAGTGGAGACCCACTGAAAGGCAGAGAGCTTCTACCCACTTTCCCATTTTATCTAAAAGTCAGCCAGGAAGTGTCTCATCCAAAAGCCCCAAATCAGCATCCTGGTGTCATCACGCAGCATACAGCATTATTATATAAAGTGATGCTGGAGCCGCTCTGGTCACCTAATGTAAGCATAAGAATGCCCATTTTGGCAGACCCACACAGAAGAATGATCAGTCATAGAAATGAACAGATGTAACAGTTATTTAAAACTGAAGATAACATAACAAATTAATCTTCAACAATCCCTTAGCAAATTTCATGGTACAACAGTTTATTGCATATCCATCTTGGTATACTTAAGTGTTTAAATTTTAGCTTTTCAGATACAATGTTACTCAAGATTACCGCAGATAAACTCAAATAGAAATATTTTACCTCTGTAACATGATCACAGAGCCTTAATGAATTGCAATATTTATGAAGGCACGACACACACAGATAGCTCTTTCTTTCCTGCACTTCATCAATTTCTCATATTAACCAGAGAAGGCTCTAAGATGGATATTGAAATAAAAAAATAACAAAATAACACACTTTTACAGACAGATTACTCTGGTGACATCTATCACAAAAGCAAGGAAAATACATACCTAATTGTTTAGCAGAAGGTAATTTGTTAATTTTCCCTTCACATTTGAGTTTACTAAACCTGGTGCATTTAAGTTTTACATGTAAATGATTCAGCAATTAGAAAATATGGAAAGTATATACATAACAAATGTTTAAAACAAAAACATATAACCAACTGTTGGCTCTGTAACCACAGCTACAGGATGAACACAGCCTAAAATTGAGGTTATTCTTGAAATTATATTGTATGCGCTGCAACAGGGTTGTCAATTACACTCCTTGAGGACCTGCTCTTTTTAGAAGTGTCTCTGCTACAGCACATCCAAGTCTCAAATTAGATAATTAGCGCAACTCTTGATAACTTGTCTTCATGCCGAGGATGTAATCAACGCATTTGATACAGGATTGTGAGCAGAGACACATCTAAAAGGTTCAGGATTCAGGATCTTCAGGCGTGGAGTTTAGAAAAAAAATATGTCTGACAGTCTGAATCACTGCACCATACATGTATTTAAAAAAAAAATACAACAAAAATAAATAAACACAAAAAAACAGCATCAAAATGTTCCTACATTAAAGGATTGCGGTACTACTTTCTCAACCTTCTCATGCAGGAATTATGATAAACTCAGTTCAGATTTTCTACTAAGTGTTTTTAAATGTCCTTGAGGAATGTAAACAAGTAAAAAAAAAAAATCTTAAATCTTTATTCTATAAAGAAATCAGTGTGTCCACTCAAGTGTCATTTATAGATTATGTACTGTTTTAAATTATGTAATGCAAAAAACAAATGGTAAAAATTGTTATTATGCATTAAACATCCAACATCTCTCCTTTTTAGTAGCTGCTCTCCCTCTATCTCTCTCCTCACTGCTCCTCTTGCTGCTTGGCTTACAGAGGTACTCTGTTTGACTTGGCCTTTTCCTCCCTATCCTGTTTTCAGTTTATCAAAAGAATATTAACACAGTCAAGAACGAAAATGATAAAAAATTTAAACAATGTGCATTTCAACATCATGTTTCAATGAGTTTGACTTCATTTCAAAACATTAACATGAAATGAAACTAAAATAGTTTCCCTGGTTCCAGAGTGAAAGAATAAAACAAAAATGTAGCTATTAATAAGTATAGATATTAAACAAAGTAGATAAATATGCTAATTTAATCAAGTGTAAAGAAGATAAATATAAGAGTCTGCAACATTACTGCAGTTTTAGATAAAATGGGGCTTTTGAGGGCTTTTGAAGGACCATTGTGAGTCTTGAATAAAGGCAAGTTTCCACAGAACATTATTATTATTTTGAAAATTAAACAGATATTCCATTTTGTTTCTGCACATGACTTCCTGTCCCACACAATCTACTCCAAGCCATATTTCTGTGTTGAGGTCCAGCATCCGGCAGAAATGAAACAGGTTCAACATCCAACACTGAGAAACCAACATGGAATAAACGTTGCTAACATATCAATTTATTTTATTATTTTTGGTTTCTGCACATTACTTCCTGTCCCGCGCGATCTGCTCTAACTACTGAACTACTGGTCGTTGCAGCTGGAAGTACATGTTAGTGTTTTTCAGGTATGTGGTACAAACTGAAGGCACCAGAATAAAAAAAGCGAACATATTTTGCTGGCAGACTCTGATATTTTAAGTTAATTTAGGCATTAATAAACAGTTTCAGGGTAGTGATCATAGCGTTCTGCACAAGCAGTGCATTGTCCGTCTTCCTGTCAGCTCCCAGATCAGCTTCTCTCATTGGTTGAGAGAAGCTGATCTGGGAACTTTTGCTGCCCGTCGAGCAGCAAAAGTTTAAATTTTTCAACTCCAACATCTGCTACGTGTGAAGCGTGTCACTCACCTCATGCTCAGAAGCTCACGAAGTGCTGCTCTTGCTGCTCAGATTCATCAGGATAGGCTGCGCCTGCTGCTCCAGACACACTGCAAGACTTTTTAATAGGCCTTGATGCGCATCATCCATTGACTTGGCTGCTCCTACTTTCTGGAACAAACTTCCAGAAAAACTGTAAAAGTGCAGAAAGCCTGAGTTCCTTTAAATCATGACTAAAAACACATTTGTTTAGGATTGCCTTCGACTGTTCTAGTTAAACAGTTCAACTGAAACATCATTAGTTCAACTTTTTTATTTTCTTTAGTCAAACTGTTTTTAATGTTCTTTTTTGTTTCTGCATTTTTTTATTAAATTTTTTTCCCTACGTGCTTTGATTCTGTTGTATTTTCCTATGTTTTAATCATGTAAAGCATTTTCATTGTATTTGTACTGAATTGTGCTATACAAATAAATTTGCCCTGCCTTGCCTTACCGCTCCAAACCCATTTATTTGGGTTCTTTGCAAACATACCGTAATGTTTAATAGCCAGGTGTATGGGAGAATTATCCTGCCATAATGCAAGAGCACATAATTTCAATTTGAGAAAATAATTTAATCTTCTTGCACTCAAAACTTATAATGCTCCCACTCAAAACATGCGCTCTCTTTTAAATATTTTCTCTTCTCTCTCAAATCTAAAAGCTATGCATTTTCAGACTCGACGTGATGTGAACATAAAAACTACCACCTCAGAGTTGCTTGTCAGAAAAAAAAAAAAAAAAAAACAAGTTTGCTTGTCAGGGCAGATGCTAATTCTGCCTCCAGCAGAAATTAAGTGACTTTTCATCGATGATTCTTGAATCGCCCTTTATCATTTCCTTTTTTTATTTTCCTGATTGTTGTTTTTCAGCTTCTTATTTTAATAGCTTTTAAATTAAAAAGCCATTTTATTGTCGGTAAGGTTTATCACAGGCACACTCAGTAGAGTTAGACAAGCGCACCCTTTCCGAGGCTGTCGTACTATTGGCTGGAAAGGTTGCTAGGCGACGATCCGATCCAATCTGAGAGAGAGCAAAAAAAATCCGCAAGCAGAGCCTACAGGTTTGCGAGCGTAACTGAGACTCGAGTAGAGCACGGTTTGTGCACGAAGAGAAGGAGGCAAGCGAGAGGAGAAAATATCTGTGCAAGAAGCATTAAATCTGAGAGAAGAAACAAAGATTTTAGAGAGAAGAGAAAATATTTGAGAGAGAGCGCATGTTTTGAGTGTGAGCATTATAAGTTTTGAGTGCAAGAAGATGAAATTCTTTTCTCAAATTGAAATTATGTGCTCTTGCATTACGGCAGGATAATTCTCCCATACAGGTGTCCCTTGTAGGTAATCATCATCGCACTGACTGATTGAAATTCTTCTTCTGAACCGAAGGCCACCTTGAATAAATCCAAGACCGGCCTAATTTTGACAAAGCTGTCTGCATTTTTGGATTCCGGCGAGTAGTTGCAAACAAAGTGCGTATAACTAAGAACTAGCAGAAATGTATTCACTGGCATTGCATTGGCTGTCAGTTCAGGATTAAGTCCTGTGTCTGACAACCAGCACATTCTGGATCTAGGATATATGATGTATGAAATTACCATATTAATTCAAAGGAATGTTTTGAACTCCTCTGGGGACTATGTCAGCTTGTCTTTTTCTTTCTGAATAGTATTGTATTGTATATAGTCATAAATCATATCCTGTTTGAAAAGATGCAAAAAGAATTTTATTGGATTTGCTCCTTTTCAGAAATCAGATCAGAAGCAGAAATACTTTAATAATCCCAGCGGGAAATTACTTTTATTATTCATCTTGCGTTTTCCAAATTCCACCACCTCCACTCCACCACCTAGTACTGTAGGTCTCCCACAAACTGGTTATCCTTAGGTTCCAGACATTTCTGAGACTGTTTTCTTTTGCTTTATTCCCCTGAGATCTCTGAGGCTTCATCTCCTTTCTCAGATTCAGCACCCAAAGCAACATTTTCCAGACTCTTCACCTTTTCTATCACTACCTAATCCTGCTGCTCTGCTTGCACATTTCTCTTTTGATAGATATGCATGAACAGGAGCTGTTTCCCCCCCAGGCCTGAAACTGGTGGTGGAGTGGAGATAGATAAAGTTGGTCAGTCTGTAGACTGCTGGTTAGCGAGATGGTATGCTGAGCTTTATGGGGAGATCCAGTGGATTGTATGGGCTGATACTAGAGCTTCCCTCAGGGACCTGGAAGATGGAAGTCCAGCTGGATAATACAGGTTCAGAGTACCTGTCCATGATGAGGAAGCATGGAGCGACAGTGTTGAGGAAAAACTCCCCGTTGGGAAGAAACCTCTGGCAGAACCAGGTTCAGCATGGCGGTCTTCTGCCGGACCGGTTAAGATGAGACAGCGAACACAGTAAGAGTCCGGGAGGAATAACACTCTGATGAAGCTTTAGCTACGAAGTTGGAGGAGGGGCTGGAGGTGGGTTGAAACGGTGTCATCTGAATGAGGTCACAGCGCATCCGCTGACTGCACAAAGGAGCAGACAAGTGTGTATCGTAGGCCTTTTAAGATTAACTTTGGAAGCCGATTGACTTTCGTGGAGGTGTGGCTCAAAACTGATTGCCCATTAACAGCAGTGTATGTAGCAGTGGCCAAATTGCAGAAATATAGCTACTCAGAAAAATACACTTTTAAACAGCTGTACACTGTAATGACCTCTATGTGTAAAACATTTAACCCTTTTTAGACTAGAGTCATATACAGTATTCATTAATGTAAGTGAATTATCTCCTTTGCACACACACACACACACACACACACACACACATATTTTTTTTGTTGGAATCCTTGATTGAATTTTTAATCTCTTACAGAAACTACTGTGGTAATGAAAGGGATACTAAAGCTAAACGGAAAAAAAAATTTCTAGGCTAAACATCTGTTTGCAACTCCCCTGATATGTCATCTTCACAAAATAACAAACAGCAGTTCAGAGAGAAAAAGGAACCCATCAGTTACCGAAGTGACCAAAAGAAATGTACAAGAAGAACAGAACCCCATTATGACAGGAAGTGCTGTATGATCACGCCTTCCACATAAACCAGTAACACGCATCTGACAGTCTGGATCACCACAGCTCGCATTCTTACAGAAGGGTCCAGTGTCTGAATGAAAACAGCATCAAAATGGCTCTCTTATGGCTCACACTGTTACTTGTTCAACAAGGATGTAAGTTATTTTTAAATTATTTAAGATATAATAAGAAACCTGGATTTTCTTTGCTCAAATTTTGGTTTTTATCTTAATGTTTAACTTGCTGCTTTTGTTTTTATATTTAGATACTTTTGCTCCAGTGGTCACAGTTGAACTTGGTCAGTCTGTAACTCTGACATGTGCTTTTAGCAGAAAATATCAAAGCACCTCATGGGTTTACTGGTACAAGCAACGTTCTGGAGATACACTAAATTTAATTGTGATGCTGCAGAGAAGCATAACACCCAAATATGGACCACAGTTCTCTGCCTCAAGATTCAATGTTACATACAGCGGGGACAAAGGAAGTTTGACAATTATCTCCACGGTTAAGCAAGATGAGGGAATGTATCACTGTGCTCAAATGGATGCACTTGAACATGCATGGAATGGCACAAATGTAGTAATAAAAGGTAACTAAATAATTTCTTCTTCTGGTATTTCGGGAAATTACAGGAAATTACCCAAAATAAATATAATTGTAGTCAACATTAACTACAAAAGGCGTGGTTTCATGGGCATAGGACGACGTGAAGGTAATTTTCATGAATCTTTGATTCATGTGATGTGTGTGTTTTTCAAAACTATATTATATTTCCATTAAATGCACAGCTATATTAGAAAAAAAGCAGAGTCAAAAAAAAACCTACATGTAAAAACGTTATCCACATATTCCATGTCAAGTTTAAATGGTATATTCGTTGATCTTTTGCATATTATTTGATGGTCAGACAGTTTTATCAACTGTTGTCTGTTTCAGTATGTAACTGGTTTTTTTTCCAGCCAGGTTTAAAAAAAATGCACATTTCGATGCACAGTTCGATCCCCACAGCTTCCATTCTGGGTTCCTGAGCAAGACCCTTAACCCCACACTGCTCCCCGGGCGCCACAGAATGGCAGCTCACTGCTCCCCAAGGGGATGGGTCGAAATGCTGAAAGTGAATTTCCCTATTACAATAAAGGACAATAAACTTTTTTTTTTTTTACAATAATAAAGACACTTTGTATGGTATAGAATAAAGATTTAATGTTAATTATCAAGGCAGAATTTAGCTAACCCAAGTGTCATCTTATATTTCATATGTGACTTTCATAGATTTTCCTGTGACAGGATCCAAACTGTCACAGCAGGCCATCAAAGCTATTTCTCTGTCTGCTGCCTTACTTTTATGTCTGATTGGACTGGCTGTCCTTATATGCTTCATCAACAGATTTAACCATGGACATCGTCTTGGTAATTTTAAATGCTTTTCTAGTACTTTTTTTATAGTCTGTATAACTGTATAACTGTTGCATCTAGATGTAATTGTCTATTTTTCTACTTAAACAGAGTCTGTCAAGATGAAGGAAAGCTGTGCTCAGAGCAGGCAACAGGTAAAGTATTAGGGCTTCCATATAAAATATTTTGATTAATTTTAAAGTAACAATTTAGTTTCATAAACTTGTATTTGTTTTTTATTTTATTTCTAAATTGATCTTTTTAGAGAGAGGAAGAAATAAGAATGTACTCTTCTGCCATTTTTACCAAGATGAAAACCGACAATACTGACACAGAGAAAACATCTGAAAGAAAGATGATCTTCACTGCAGAAGCCTTCAGTATTTAAAAAATGTCTCAAAAACCTTGTGCTAATTTATCAGGTTCTATTGAACAATATATAACTTTATAGATTGAATGCATTGGCCTAACTTTGATTAAACATGATAATCTACTGCTTTTCATTAATTTACACAGAATATTAAGGTATAGCGGATATCATACCATTGTGAACTTACCATTTGATCAACAAACAGAAAATGTAAAGGAACCTCAAACTGGCAGTAAAAGAAAAAATGCTTTAAGATTGGTATATTTCTAAGAGCTAACTAAAGATATTTTTTGCTTTAATTTTAAATGCTGTTTTGTCATATGTTAAATATTGTTCCTATTTTTTATTAATTCCTTGTTACTTGATCCTGGTCGTCAATTTTTTTTCTTTTTAAAATTTGTTCTGATATGTTTTGCTGTACAGTATATTAAACTGACTTATTACACAGAGTGAACAATGTGAAACATTTATTTCTTGTTCATTTGATGATTATGTGTTTTAAACAGTAATATAATTCTTAAATTCTCAGTTACATTCTCTCAGTATTTTACTAAGGTTTCTTATGCATGAACTATAGTTTGAGTTCAGTGAGATATGGAGGCAATCGGCTTGATGTAGTGCTGAGGTGCAGTAAGCTGATTGCAAAAGAGTAACAGGAGTGATTACAGGAAACAGGGTTGGGAAGGCTGTCACAAATAATTGATTTAGCAATGCAAATTTAATTTGGTGGCATGTATTTACCTATTTATTAAGATGTAAAGTGACATTTGATGGAAGCCAAGAGCAGAAGGAACAACGGAAAGGAACAAATAAAATACAAGGAGGACCTATCCGGTTAGCATCAACTTTCAATGGGAAACAGAAAAATGCAGACAATGCTTTATGAAAAAAAAAGTGCAAAAAAGCATTATAATCTTTTAATTATTGTAGCTAATGACACTGTTGGTCCCGCCTTTGAAATCAAGCTCTACCAGCTTTTTATCAGACTGATACGCCGTGTATACATTGTATAGTCTGGCAGGCCAGACTGGTGATCAAAGGTAAGAGAGACAAGTAACAACATTAGTAAAACCAAAAATAATTAGAAATACTATATTATAATGCTCTAGATTTTACCAAAACCAAAACTACATAAATCAATTTTGTTATGTTATAGAATTAATCCTATAGACAATAGAGGCACAGACAGTGAATGAGGCAATGTAAGAATGATTCATCACTTTTAGTGTATTAATTTCAAAGAAAATAAAAACTGCATTTAATATTTTATTATAAACCAATTATAAATTCAGAGAAGCAGAGAAGACTCACTCTTATCTCAGATTGCAGGCAGTGCTACGGAGTCTAAACTGCCTGCCTGTCAATGCTTTGGACGGGCTGAGAGCAGTGCTTGCTGCAGAGAGTAAACTTAGAGTTATCAGTGTTTTTTATATTTGTGATAAAACCATTTTGGTTCAAAGGGTTAATGCTTTAACACAAACCATAAAACCTTAAATTGGGCAACAGACAGCCTCCTAGGCCAAGGATGTTGCACAGCAAAGTTCTGAAACTGTTGGCAATTGGTGTGCTGTGAAGTACGATGACCTTTTTACAAGGTCTCATCACAGATAACGATGAAACAAATGTGGAGGTTATTGCATGCACCAGATTGAGGTCAAGAAAATTTTATGGCCAATGCGTGAAGACATACTGTGGTACAACTTTGAGGACATATCAATACATCTCACAGCCCACCACATGGGAACTGAAAAAGAAAAAGAAAAGACGTCAGGTCTAAACTAGAACAGGCAGCACAAGTTTGTTTTCATTGAAGAGCAACATCCCACCCCCTCAAAATCTACACACGTTTGCAACTCAAGTTTTTATTTCCATCCACATTTGGACTTTACTTTGACTTATTTTTATTTTAGTTATTGAATTTATGTCTAACCCTGACATTTGCCCTAACACTAACCATTAAACTATATACTTAATCCTGACCTTAACTAAAGTTATTTCACTTCATGCCTCTAAAATTACTCTCTAACATTAAAAATAGGGGTCCATCGCATTAAAGTAATACTCAAGTAACATTCAAAATGACCCTTCCCAGTCAAACGCCAGCTGCACGGTAGCCCACTTCCTTGCAACTCCCTGGAAAATCCCCTCCAACTTAAATCTTCTGGAGAGAACCCCTCCTTCTTCTGGGCGTGCATACTTATTTACTCTGACTCCACCATTTCACTGAATTAAAGGGGTCCAGGAGAAGGCGAATCATGACAGAATATATTGGATCAAAGATTGATGTTTAAAAAGGAATTAGGAAGGAACTATACAAAGTAAAAATAAAAATGGTCTAAGCATAATTCTAGAAGCTGTCCAGGACATTTGCATTAATTCCTCACCATTTGTGAGCTGTACAGTCTGAATTTTTTTTACTCCGGCTTTGTTCTTCCATTAATTATCATTTGCTCTCTGGACTGAAAGTCCAGTTTTTTTATTTTTTCAAACTTAGCTTTATAATCGTCTTCCACTCTGGACTGAGTAAAACACAAACATTAACAATTCACTTTAGTGCACTTGACTCTTAAGGCTGACTTATACTTAGAAACCCGGTTGTCTGCGTGTGTGTCCCAGTAGCTACATTTACATGCGCAAAATTTCCCCGATCCGATCCAAACCTTGGTTGACCGAAAATTCAAAATCTCCGTTTACATGGACACTAAATGAAATGATCCGATCATGACGTGTGTATACATGTACCAAGCGTTGGATCAGATTAAATCTTTTAAGCATGCGCAGAACTTCCTGCCAAACTTGGCAGTTCTGTCTGCGTCTGGTTTTTGGGAGGCCTGACAAACGATGCGCTCGGAGCGAGCGGAAAGAAAAACGGAGAGAGGAGGAAAAAAGCGTTTGGCAGCGAAATGTCCGAGAGAAAATGTAGAGAATGAGCGATTGAACCGGCGTGGGAGAGCGAGTGGGCTGTGGAGAGAGAAAAGAGGAAGAGGAGGAGGATAAATTCCTGCTTCCTGCAGCTTTAAATGAACTTGAGTGTATAAGTCGGCGTTCCTAGACTCCTCCTGCCATGTTGTTCACAACAAGAGCGAGAGCGACCGGTGGTTTCCTGTTGTTGACAAGGCGGAAAAACGTCACGCTGACGTCGCACACATGCGCAGTGAAGATTATTTTACTCTTAAGATCCGAATGGGTGTTTACATGGACGCCAATCAGAATGGCGATCGGCAAAAACCACCTCTCTCTTTCGGAAATTAAATTTATATCCGATCGGACCGAATCGGATTAGAATCTTCAGTCTGACATGTTTACATGAAACATTTTTGATCTGATCAGGCCTTCAATCCGATTATTTGTGTCCATGTAAACGTAGCTACTGAATGCAAATGTGCCCCCGCCCCTGCTGCAGACACACTGCTGCACCTCTACAAAATTGTAGGTGACCCCAGACAGGAGGCATCAGACAGGAGACCTCTGTTTGGTCAAATCTACGTCCGCTCTACACTGTTGTTATTTTTTTTCTTTTTACATTATGCATATTTCCTGTTTGGTACCTTACCAGCTTGTTTTGTTTGTATTACCGCCATTGTGGAAAACGACTTGTGAAGTTGGACCAGCTAGAAAAGCGAGGTGCGCAAGAACACTGGGACCCTTTTTTCACCTGGATCCTCACTCTTTTTCGCCTTCATATCCCTCAGGTGTTGCACAAACTTGCCACCACTTCCTCACCGCCTCAGCCGTATCTAGACCCACAGCTAGTTCGATTGTCCCTCTTGTGTTGTGGTGTGAAATAACATAGCGCAGACCATGCTTCAAACCGATTTAATATTGGTGACATGCAGCGATAGGGGAACAGGCATGCACCAATTGCACATTTTATTTTATACATCTGCAGAAAGTAAATTAAATTGTGATGTTTCTTTTCATTTTCTTAGGTTGTAAAAACTGCAAGTTTGAGAAAATAAAATTGGAATTTTTTACAATGTAACTTTTCAGCTTTACATTACTATAGGTATGGATTTTTAACAGTTAAGCAATCAGAACAAGAGAAAAAACATTCTCCTGGGATTTCATGTAAACTTAGTGGTGTGTAACTCCTTTATTCATTCATCAACATTTTTTCATTGTTTTATGAAAGAGGAGAGATCACTGCTTGGATGCATTCAGCTCCTGGTTCAGCTTTTATGATTGTGTTGATGCACAGCTTTGACCTGCAAAAGTTTAGAATTTCAAATTCAAGTATCTGATCTGAACCTGCTTGGCTCAGTGGACACCCACACTTCAAGATATTGGGCCAAGACAAACCAACATGTTGGCTTACCCCGAATGGGTTGCAAAATTCTATCAAGCAGATTGATCACTCTGAAGATTTACACCAAACATGGCAGAATTATCTCCCCAATGATTGGTCCCAAAAGTCTCTCTATTTGGACACTCTCAAAAGGGTAAGATCAGATAGAAATAAACACAATCACCTTACAATAAGAACTAGCCTTTACTGATGAATTCTGGAATTAATAGATCCTAATTATTCAGTCAGCTGAAAAAGAACTACACTACAGTTACCATTGGTTTCAGTTCTGAGATTTTCTGGGTTGGTTGTTATTGTTAAGGTCTTGTCATAGTGGATAATTAATTTCTGTTTAACTTACTTATTTCTTGTTCCATTAATAAAAAATGTACATTTAAAAGCTTACAGTCTGCACATGTTTGGCTTTTTAAACATAATAATATAGCAATTGTTACAAAATCTTACTATACTGTCCTGCAAATGTGCAGAAGAGTCCAGAAAAATATGGTGATTATTTTGCTTTACTGAGAATAACATCCTGCTGTCTTCAGATGAGTATTTGAAATGTTATGCAATCTAGCTTGTGTTAAGCATACATTTGGACATTTGTTTCATATCACTTAGCAAATGGTTAACAGATAAGGTAAATATGTTTTTTCTTAATTAACAGTTGCTCATTGTGGATGGAAGTTCCCTCCGAATATAAATCATGAAGTAACCAATCAGATGAATTCACATCTGCATAGCCATGCCTCCTACTGTACCTTTACTTCAGTGTAGCATTTCCTAAAGAAGACATTGACAACATGATCCTGTTGTGGGTTATACTAATTCTACTTCCTCAAGGATGTAAGTACTACTTTTGTGAATGTAAAAAAAATCTTTTATATAAATCCTGCATTGTCTCATTTACCTTTTTTTATCCCCTAATCTAATGCAGATGCTTTGGTTCCAGTGGTCAAAGTTCACCCTGGCCAACCTGCGGCTTTGACATGTGATTTTACAGAGAGTTTTCCGAGCGTTGGTTGGCTTCACTGGTACAGGCAAACTCCGGGAGATACTCTGAAATTAGTTGCAATGCTGCGCAAAAATACAAACCCCATATATGGGCCAGGATTTACTTCCTCATACTTCAACATCACCTATGACGAAAAAATGAGCAATCTGACAATTCTGAAAACTGCTGAAGAAGATGAGGGAATGTATCATTGTGTTCATGTCAACCTAGTTGAATCTAAGTGGATTGGGACGTATTTATCCTTAAAAGGTAACAATGTCCTATTTTTAGTGAAAATGCACACTTTTAAAAATGAAAACTAAAAGATTAAATATTACAAGGTTTGTATTTTTAAATGTGCAGTTAAGGCCATAGGTTGTAAAAATGATGATGAATCTGAAACAATGAAGATAACCAGTTAATGAAATTTATTATTTCCCTTAACATTTTTGTCTATAGTACTATTTACATACATTTTCTGCTCTTTTATTAAAATAAAGTGCATAATTAAAACAATTAAATATTAATTCTTTGCAAGATATACATTTGTTAAGTTTAATTTTGACTGTAGGAAAAATAATCATATTAAAATGTGTTATAATTGTATGTTAGAACAAGAATGTAAATCATTGTTTTTGACAGCTTAAATTTATATTAGCAGGTTGCCAGATTAAACTTTTAGTGTCTTTTATTTTATGCTAAATCTCTGTCAGACTTTACAACCTTAAACTAAAATGAAATGATGTTGGTTGTTTTTTTTTTTAAACCTACCCACATTAGAATAATTTGATAAATATGTTTTAATAACGTAACGTAATGTATTTGATTTGCTTAAACCTAGCAACACACAGAAGTGAAACATTTTTCATATTTTACTCTTCTTAGGGGAAAGGAGAACAGACTACAATGTTGTTCACCAGCCTGCAGTTTCACATTCTGCTCTTCAAGGAAACTCTGTGTCCCTGCAGTGCTCATTTCTCACTGACACTGACCAAAAGTCCTGTTCACGAGAACCCACTATATTTTGGATTCGATCTGGAGTTGATGAATCTTACCCAGATATCATCTACACTAACAAAAAAAGATCTGATCATTGTGAGAAGAGAGCCAACATGCAGAGATGCCTTTACAACTTCTCCAAGAAAGTAAGCTCCTCTGATACTGGGACTTACTACTGTGCTGTTGCCACGTGTCGAAAGATATTATTTGGTAATGCAATAACACCAAATATTGAAGGTAAGTGTGCAAATTTATTTTATTTCATGTAATAATTTAAATATGTGTCATGACAACATTATGTGTCATGATAACATTAAGTCAACATTACTTAATTTGCTTTATTTACATTCTTAAGTTTGCTCCTTCCGAATTAAAATGTTATTTTTAATGAGATCCTATCATTAATGGCTTCTTCTTGTTATTTCTTTGAAAAACCTACAGAATCAAGTTTTCAGCCATTGGCAATATTCCCAGCCATACTGACCACTGTTTTAGCCTCAAGTTTTATAGTTCTACTTGTCTTCCTCTGGTTCATCATTCATAAAAGCAAATGTCAACATTGCCAAGGTAATATCACATAGAGATAATTATTACATACTTTTCTAAATGGAAAGTTGATTTCTTAATTCATTTTTTTTGTTTCACTGTTCAGCTGCTGTTGAGCTGCAAACGCCATATGATCTGAGCAGCCACAAGGTAAGTGTTAATACTGCTGCTATTACAGGGTTGTTGTTTTTTACTCTATTTACCTTATCTATCATTTTATAACTTGTCTCCTCAGACAGAAGAAGACAGAATGCTGTTTTCTGCTGCAGTCTTCACCTTGATTAAAACTGTTCAGACTGAAACAAAAGCACCAGAAAGACGGATATTTGCTGCAGTAGAAGCCTAACCCCTGAGTTAAACATACCCAACCTCAATCTTATTTGTCTGTTTGGTTTTCCTACAAACATCGGTTTGAATTGAATTTAGATTAATGAGCACAAAAGTCATATATCTATATAGGTCCAGAGCCTTTGACCCTTGTGGGCTATATGGCTTTATGAAGCAGTGGGAGATCCAGGATCTAAACAACTCATGGTAAAAGTTTAAAATGTTCAAATGTGTACTGAATCTAGTTCTTTTACAGAAAAAAAAAAATAGGATTCAACAACAGGCAGGAAAACCTTATTCAACAATGGAAGCAGATTATCCATGTACATACTCACTGCAAAGACTATTTAGAAATAAGTAAATATTTCTTAAATTAGGTGTATTTATCCTTATTCTAAGTAGGTAAATGAGATAGTTTGCCAATGGAATGAGTATTTTTACTCTTACAATAAGATAATTAGATAAAATGCACTTGAAATAAGACACTGCAATTGTGTTTTCTTATTTTAAATCTACATTGTCTTGTTCCATTGGCAAAATGTCTCTTATACCTCCTCAATTCAAGAACAAATGCAATTATTTAAAGAAAAAATGACTTTAGATTTAGATTTTTTCCAGTGCTCAAATTACATATAGAATAAACAAAAAAGAAATCATCTTTTTATAATGCAGTGTTGCGCTATATACGTTTGTATATTCGTTTTTTTGTTGTTGCTGTTTTTGCTTGAGATTTAATGCTGTTGTTATCCAGGCATGATAACAAATTAATGTTAAAAAACAAAATGCTCATCTGATGTATGTATTTTGTGATTGGATCTTTATCAATTGTTTACTTTTTAACAAAGAAATATAAGTTAGTTTTTGTTTACTTTATATGATCCTAAATGTAACTTACTGTAGGAGTACATTAAGTTTGTCTTGCTCTTGTCTCTATTTTAAGTTTGCCGTATCTTTGCAGGGACATAATAATGAAATTTGAAGAGTTTAAGGTAGGGGGGTGTCCATGGGGATAATGTAAAGAACTGAAATAAAAGGTAAAAATGCAAAGTGCAAGATGTTTTTTTTTGGCTGTATTGCAGTTGTATGTAGTAGTGCACTTATAAAACTTAAAGCACAGCTCTTCAAAGAACATAAGAAGTGATTTGCAGTTTGGCAGATAGCGTGTGCAAACTTTTTTTTTTTTTTGCCATAATCAATGTGCAGATCCTTTTTTTCTAAAAATCAGGAATTGGTTCAATGCCAGGTAGAAACGATTCCTTTCACACTTCTCTGTCTCGTGGTAAGACAAATTTTTTTCTTTCCCAGTGTTTTTTATAGAACTCCACATAAGGCAAGATTGTCTTATCATAGATATTGTGTATAATAAGTTTTAAGGGCCTTCCTTGTTTTGCAGTATAAAATGTGAAGCTGTTGGTAAGAGGAGAATTTGAAGGTAAATCCAGCTGTTAGGAGTGAATATGTAAATCTAACTTTGGTTCCTTCTTTGCAAGTGGGTGAGGTTAGGAGGGCTGTAAAGAGGTGACAAAAAAAAAACCTCTTATATTTGACTTGACTTGTTTTCATTGCCTTTTTTTTAAAGTTTTGTTCATAGCACTTGGCGACAGACTATCAATGTGAAGTGCATTATTTAATATTATAGTAATATAATTATTTTCTAAATTATTGCTGTAATTATTACTTATATCTCCATGGCTTTGAACCTCTTTGAACCTCATCTTTTTTACACAGCCATTTTAAAATTTGCACGATGACACGCAATCTATTGACCTTTAATAGAGCAAAACTAAACCAGTTCGAACGTCTTTATAGTTATGCATCAATCTTTGTAGATCAACAACAACAAGCACACTTATAGTATGAATAAAAAAAAAAAAAAATAAACATATTGCACCTGCAATTTAGCCTCCCTTAATTAAAATCTTTGAAGATCAGGTCCTTAGAGTAGTTTGCATCATTAGTAAAGAACATAATTTGACAGTATTGAAAAATTTTATCTCATAAATCAAGGAATTTAAAGCTTAGGCATAAATGGGTCATCAAAATGAAAATTTGCCTTAATTGGACACCATAAGTATCGTAAGAGTAGCTTTCAGATAAAGCCAGTGTTGTAGAGTGGTCATGGGAAACTCTGACTTCACCACCACAGAAACTTTTTAAACAGAGCAGATAAGTTGTGTGCAAGCGAGGCCTACTAACCTGACTCACTTAACTGCACACTGTGGTGGAGAACATGGAAAAAGAGAGTGAGGCAGTGATAGTCCTAGTGGTCACAGGTGATGGCAACATAACCAAGAAGAAAAACAAGTAGCCTGAAACCCTAAAATGTTAAAGAGGAAATGATGAGATTGAGGTTGGCCTTAAAACCAGGAGTTGTTTCAGTGGCTTATAGGAAGAACTCTGAGCACCTCTTTAGAGCATAGTACCAAGATCTTTTAAGATTTTGTGAGAGCTCTTTAGCTCCCAGGCCTCAGTAAAAAAATAAATAAATAAAAAGTTCTTTCAGAATTAGATTTTAAATCAAAAGTTAAGGGTTCAGACAATGAGAATATAGACCTACAATGTCTAATTTTTGCACCTGACTTGAAAACTTCATGTTTAGTTGCTATTACAACTGGCATTTAACTCAAGGCATTTCCTTTTTGACTACTTGTCATAGATTCTATAATGTCATAATATGCAGTAATGTTCATTACCTGTTCCTTAACTGCCACAAAGAGAGTTACTGCAACTGATGATTTGAACTGCTGGTAATGCCAAAACATAATGTCAGTAGAAAAAAACAACTTTGGAATTTCAAAATAGGGACTTCACTGGAGGAGGGGATAGTTTGGAGAATAGGAAATATATTTTATGAATTAATACAAAACTTGAAAGTATGTAATTTTATACAAAGAAGCATGCCATATACCATTTGAAACATAGCAAAAAGTTTAAACCAAGTTGAGATTTTTTTTTTGCTTTTTAGGTTATGTTAAAGTTATGTTTCATATAAATGAAAAGGACAGCAACACCTCACTTTATACAGTCATAACATAGTTTAATGCTAAAATAATAGTTTCACTGAGCTCAAGAAATGTGGTTAAATTTCATCGTTCTACACTGTGTACCCAGGGAAGCAGTACCCACAAAAGAAAATAAATCCAAAGACACTCCACACATAGACAAATGTTGAGATCAAACTCCTCTCTGATGTCACACCCCTGCAATGGAGTTTATTTAAGGGGCCAGATCCTATTCAACTTCATGTTGCAAGTTGCCTATTGACACGTAAGGCTGGTCATGACGGTTCTCAGCTGAAAGCTATGCTAAATAGCAATGAAATCCCTTGGGAGAAGTCTGTGCTTGCTGGACCTTTCCAATGATTCAGAAGGAGCTGATCGTTGTGACTGTCTTTTCCTGCGATTCAAACTGAGTTAAAAGTAGTGTGACCCCGCCTGCTGCAGATGAGACAGCTGCAGCTCACAGCTTATTGCCATAGCTAACGGGAGACGCATGATTTAAGGCTACTGTAAGCTATAAAATTAAACCCAGTAAAGTTGCCACGGTGTTTGCATCCAATCACTCCAAATCTCTTTGAGAGCTGCTGTTGGACAAAAGGACTGGACCGAAGACGAGGTTGCAAATTCGGACCAAACCGACCCGAGAAGTCCCTTTTTTATTCCATCGAGCCAAAACAGTAACATCCATCCTTCCAACTTTCCATCTGATGCTTAATAAGTGCTCTGCTTGGGTGAAATAGGTAGAATAAATGATAGTTTTAAGAATTCTGAACTGAATGCTAATGCTTACTGAGCAACCTGAACAAACAACATGGTGTTACCATGTGTGTCTTGAGAGACTGCTACAGTGGACTGGCTAACAAGCTCCAAGCTACCTCACGCCCCGCCACATTGTAGAGGCCATGTTGCGGCCTCTAATTTTTCCTTTGTTTCAGCTGGACCAGCCTGAGCCGGACATCCTGGGGCCAGCTAAGCTAACCCTTTCAGTTTCAATACAGTTTTATGCATTCATTGTAAATTTTTCACTATAATACCGAATGAAACTTCACTGTTTTACATTAATTTAATATCTCTGTGTCAGAGTTTAATCACATTCCTCTGCTGCTATTTTTAAAGACATCTTATTCATCAAGCCTTAAAAGGTAAACATTTCTCAGAGACTCTTGAACAGACTTTTAAACCATTTTCCCCGTTTTTATTCTATAAAGCCATAGTCTAAATTACTAAATTGTTGGAGGCAAGTGGATTTTAAACAGCTGGTCTAGTAGTCCAACCTTTTATGTAAAAGACATAATACTATGGAACAAGCAAATTACAGTTATAATCATTCAACTACAGTAATAATCATTACTTGGTTTTACCCTCCATTTACAATGCCCTATAATTAACTATAACTTCCACTTTTAGTTATTAAATATATTCATAAACTTCTAGTTAACTTGCATGACACTAATTTATGCATGTTTTATCTCCACTTGAGTGGCTAATTTCCAGAACGTGCAGCTAAACAAACAAAAACAAAAGAACATAAGACAACAAGTTAAGACACTGTAGAACATAATTGGACAACAAACATAATTTTACCCTCCAATTAAGTCCTACAGTACACCCTCACTCACTGACCCAGCAGTCAAAGCAGAGGTATATCCTTAATACATTTTATTTTCAAATTTGAAATGCTTATACAAGTCCTTAGCTGCTTCACAAAAAAAACAGTAAGCTCTCTTGTCATGGTGAGTGAAAAAAATCTATTGTAGTGCAGAATTGTGGGGTGTGCATTTCCTATGTTTCAGCCAATCACTTGATTTGAACTAAAGATTGCTAACCTAAATCTTCTATCTGTGTGGAGAGATGTCAGTTGTGCAAGAGACGTAACTACAAACCATGATCAGAGGGGTAAGTGCTTAGCTTTTTTTAAGCACACTTGGTAAATTCAATTCCTGTGTACTGTAACACCAAAATTACTATGATGTTTTTTTTCTAAGTGTTTATTTTTGTTAACATTCTTTCACCTTTGAATTGATGATTCAAACCCTTAAGGTTCCTGACAACATCCCTCTGACTCAAGCTGGACCAAATTAAACTGTTCTATCATGTAATGCATCTGGGCTTAAAAGTGGGTTGTTCTACTTATATAAGATGATTTATGGATATGTGGTCAAAACAGTTGCTTCAGGGACCTTTGGGAAATAAAATTTAAATCCTTTCCTAACTCAACAGTTAAAGTGAAATTGAAAGGGACATGCATATCCTCATCAGAAAAAAAGGATGAGGCAACATACTTATGTCAAGAAGGAGCAGTATACATGGATGCATATATAAATTGGAAAGAATTTTATTGAATTTTTTTAAACAATGATCTTTTAACATTACATTAATGTTAAAACAATGAAGTGTGTTAGG